AGTGCGTAGTTGTTAATAATTTGAAAATAAATATTTCATTAAATGTTATATATGAACAATACAACACTCCGATAATTATTTTATGTTGATATAAGTAATCCACTAAATTTAAGAAAGTATTCACTGCATCAAATTTAATCAATAGTGTTTCAATATTTGCGCAGCTTTATGACGATATTCTAAAGTTTAGAAGATCATCTTTGGGAATTGATAACAATTTAAACTATTCACGAAATTACTTTCAGTATACAGGGTGTCCCAAAATTTGACGTCAATCCGAAACTGGGTGAAAAATTAGAAAGTAAATTATCTCAGCTTGTTTGAAAATTATCAGCATTTAAGTGTAACCTAGAGCTTTCGTAAAATTTTGACTATTTTTTAGTTGGTGTTGTTAATTTTCATGTTCATTTAAAGTTTGGAGTCATTAATAACATTTTTAGAACCACGGCAAAAAAGAACAACAAAACTCTAGAGCACCCCAAGTTTTCGAGAATTACGCCTCGTTGGTGAATTATGAATTTAAAATTTTTAAAATAAGTCGACTATGAGAGACTCTTCTTTATAAAAAATATTCTAAAATGTGTTAGCAAGTTTAATCAAACGTTGGTTCATTTTTTTTTCATTATCTCTTCTATTTACAACTGTCCAGTTAAGGACATTCAATGAATTTGATGAATTTGCAATAGTCGGCCAAAAAAGGACACTGGATACTACAAGGGCATGTTGTAAAAAAACAACTCAGTAGTTGTTTTTCCATTCGATATAAAATTCACAATATTTTATTGATAATTATATAATTTTAACTATTCACTTATTAAATAATTTCTTATAAATAATGATTAAGTTATTTCTATTTTTTATCAGGAGAGATGATGGCTTAAATCCAGTGGCGCTTTTCTTTTCAGTCTTGTTGGATAGTTCTCTGTTATCAAGGAGTTTGCTAATGAATTTGGATGACTGATTAGCTTGTTGGTTTATTTAATCAGAATTTTTAAACTGTAAAATACATGATAATTTTATTAATGAAAAATTTCGAGTGAAAAAATAAAGCTCTAAAAATAACTCTATCAATCTTTATAAGTGTGAGATGTAGCATTTTTTTTGTTTTTTTTTTTTGGTTAGGACCAGAAGTGTATGCTATGTTCAAACTTGTAATGTTGTATAGTATAGATATTATTCTCATTTTGGATATAATATAAATGATTGTACAACTAAATTAAATCAATTCAGTCAGTCTGTGTACCCAAATATGATCGTCGAACCATTCGCCTAATAGATCTTCGTACATGCATCGCCGTCGAGTAAATCATGAAGTCCTGGCACCGGGCATGCTAGACAATTCCGTTGTGCTTTTGATGGGTATATTTGCACGCCACAGGGGCGGCTATTAATCTAAACAAACATTTGCAAACTATACCTAAATACCCAATATTCCACAACTAGAATCGAGAGATGATGGCCTAGGATAGACTCAAAGATATGATCCAAAAGAAATTTGATGATCGGCCGTATTTAGACTAACACATCAATTTTTAGCTGCTGGTATATTTCGAGTAATATGATCCAAATCTACAAAAAATATTCCATCTGAATGTAATTTTATATACTCTGACAAATGCTCTTTGGTGCATATCAAACATCTGCTTACACAGACCTAAAAGTTACTTTTACATCAGAAGGTTGCAGTAATGATACAACTTGCAGATATCAGAAAGTTGCGCTTAGTATAAAATTGTTATTTGGCAACAGATCTAGTTTTGGCTACTCGCATATATAGAGCTTTGGGACGTTATGATATTGTCCAAATCTTCAAAAAATATTCGAAGTGAATATAATTTTGTGTAGCTTTGTGACAAATGCTCTTTGGCTCATATCAAACATCTGCTTACACAGATTTAAAATTCACTTGTACATCAGAAAGTTGCACTTATGATCAAATTTACTGACATCAGAAAGTTGTACTCATAATAAAATTATTTGACGATACTGCGTTTTGAAGGTTAGATTTTGTGTATATAACGTCTAATTGTATAGCAAAAACATAGCATTGTGATAATTTATGATTACTAACTCACATCATTATAGCCTCGTAACATAGCATTATCATAACATTTCTATTTTATCCAAGAATTTTTCTTATATTTCGTCTGATATCATAAATTCTCAATCATTTGTAATATTTTAACAGCATGCTGTAGCAACTTTTATCTTTGCAATACCGAGACCGATCTGAATTTACTTGCAACTAATCCTTTTTTCTTAATATTTGTCCACTTGAGACTTGGTGCCACCATATCTAGATATCTACTTATCTTTACCATTCATCGCAATTCAAAACCTTTCAATGGTTCTTACGAAACTTCCTGCAAATCTCGGATCTCTGCAAATGATAACCTGAAATATACCAAGTTTCAAAATGTTCCTATTCGTTTTTGGACCTTCTAAAGGCCATAGTCAAAGCAAAAGGTGGTCATATCGAGCAAAAGTGAATTGTTTTTAAATTTTATATTATTTTTACACATTATGTACTTTAAATTTTAATCGAGTAAAAGTAATTTTCCAAACTGAATTTATGACTTTTTCAATTGGTTACACTTCGAGTGCCAGACTCTGGAGTACTAGATATTTGAGTAACTTTTAACCTGTATTGACTGGATTTAATTAGGATTAAGAATTTCTTGCCCATTGATGAAAATCAGAAATTAAATTATATTTAAACCCGACCGGTTATAGCCCGATTTATATCGTATTTGAACATTTTATTTCGTCAATCTTCCCGGAAACATAATTCGCTACAAAGATTTATATTATCAAGCAATCTGCGTACTTGGATAAACATCCTAAACGCAAACACAGATATTAGATATGGAAACTTCATCAGTATTGCTTATTGATCCTTTAGATGTTTGTGTAAATATGTTTACATCATTTTGATGCTTGGCATATAAATACGATCGAATAACGAGATATTCGCATTATCAGCGACTAAAACGCGTCCGTGCGATCCGATTCGAACGCTTTGAAGCATACTCGAAAAATACAAACGTCGAATTCAGATATTTTTAACGTTTTTGACACGGTATACACTTTACGAATGGAATTCGATATATAAGGTGAATTTTGAATTTTGTACGTGATTTGACCGGGTACATAGTTTTTATCGGCATTTTTAAAACACTGTTTGATACGGTCATGACACAGATTTGGCTCATTGGCTATTTTGATGGCAGGTTTCCATTTAGCTCATTCCTGTTTCGAATAGCAGTCAGAAACAGTCAGATACTTCTTAACTCAGTTTCTTTTTTGAGAAGACATCTAACTGGTTGGTCTATCTAAATTTGATACTTCTTTTATTAGAATTTGCCTTATTATGGCTACTTTTACGATATTGTCATCTACATTTTCAAGTATAAATCAATATCACTAATTTTTCATCTCATTTGTCTGAACCGCAGCATCAAACCTGGGCCTTCCTTATTGCGGAGCCAGGGACTAACTACAGTCCTAGGAACACCTATGTGAAAATTTTTAAAATTTATTTATTCACAAATATATTATCTATGTTATGCGTCAAATAATCATCATAAGCTAGGATATGTGTGAATAGTCTAATTTATTAATATCTACTTAGATTTGAACTAAAGCATATTCTTGACAAAGGTGATACTATTACTGTGATAGTCCAATTGTATCAAATTGCTTGAAAATAATTGGAGATCATTTATATATATAGACTACATACATACACTGACCATCATAAGTTCTGAGACTTATAAGCAATAAATATACATGCAAATTTTAGATTAATATGGCGCAAGAAATTTTTTTTTTGTGCTATAATTCATTTTTGTTAATCAAGACAATTGATAGGTAAAAAAATGATACAAAAAATATAATATATTAAATATAAAACAACACAAAGTTCAAATAATAGTTTCAAATAATAATATGACCAAAAATGTTTGGTTACTATTTCATTTAGAGCTATAAGAAAAATTTAAAACTAATATCTTTCTTACTCTATAAATTTGTATATTTATAAGCAATAAGACAAATCCGATCAAAATTTAGTTAGAATGTAGATCACTTAATCAAGTTTCGTATGAATTGAATAGTTAAAAAAAATATATGTGAAAATGTATCTCGCTACTTCATAATAACTTTTTATTTAAACCATAACTTGCTTAATTAGTCAATATTTTTAAGGTGATATCATAAGCCAGTGTAAAATTTATAATGCGAGGCTTAAAAAAGAATTTACATTTTGTATGTCGAATGTGCACCACATTCTAGGTGGCCATTTGAGTAATTGATGTTAGGTTACCTTTAATAATTTTAATTATTTTCCCACTTGGTATAAAGTAACGTTAACCAACAAATATTGTTCAGAAAATTTGAATATAATATGAGATAACGAATTTTAGTGCTATCAAATAAATCAAATAAATATCCATTACAATGTTGAAATTGACCTTTAACTCAATTATGATCTTCGATCGTGCAACATACTTGGCATTTACTTTTTATATAGATCTATAAATATAACTATATATAAAATGTTTTTCCAGTGAAAATTTCCAGTACGTAAACTTTTGTCGATGGTCATAATTCATTATTATTGCCTTCAGTCTTCCAAGATGGCGACTAATGGATATTGGAAAAAAAGAGTTATCTTGAATTACGAGGAATAGCCCGTTGGCCACACCTCAGATGACCTTGTATAAAATCAATAATTTCGTTTCGCCTTAATGAAGCAGTCTTGAAATTAATTTTTTCATATTCATAACGTAAATGATTAGATTAAATACTCAAATTTAATATAAATTTCTACTACTTTTTTCATCATATATTGAAGTTAATCGAAGCGTATCCCATTCAGTAACAGATTAACATTAAGTCAACAAATAAATTTGTATTATGAGTGATCCAATGAGTTATAAAATACATACAATAATTAATTTTTTCAAATTATTTATATACATTTTTTTATTTTTTTTCAGTTGCATGGTCTGAGAAGATTAATGCAAGGTGGACCAGAACACCCAAAAGCGCCACTTGGAAACAATTACAGACCTCCTCAACCTCTTTGGCACAGGCCTGTTCGGACAAATATAGATTTCAAAGTAAAACACACGCAAGTAAGTGCATATTATTATTATTATTAACAAATATTTTTGGTGAAAATTTCAAACGCTAAAAATGACGCAATTTTTATAGATTTCAGCTATTATATTTGATGATTCTTTCTCCTTATCATTACCCAGGTATATTCCCTTTTTTATATTCTACAAATTAATAGCTTCTCAGAATATTCTCAATTAAACATGAGTAATCAAATATCCAAAATTCCTTGTCATGTGGGTATTTCTCATTAAACAAAATATATGCAAATATCTCATAGCTTAAATTATTACTGATGGATGATTGATGAGAATTCCATATAGATTCCTTTTAGGATAACATGTGCGGGTAAAATAATTAGCACTTGATTTTTATACAATACTATTGCAATTTGTTTTTAATCAACAAAAATATTATCAGTGCATATAAATACACATTTGATTTCAATAAATTGTTACTAACGAACGAAAAATTATCAATTGTGTAAAACTTTAAAATTAAATGGAAGGACTTAATTTAGAACAAGCGTTTCCAAGTATAATTCCAAAGAAAATTTTAACCAAGCTGTATGCGGATTTATTTCTTACTTTCAAACCTTACATCACAGTTCAAATATTTACTTGTGTTTCGATTTATTCAAGAAGTGCATTGGTAAATGTTCAAATGAGAAATTTCCAAAGTTGTTCCTCTTAGGTGTCGCAGTAAATTGGATATTTTTGTTCGATTTAACATTTCGCTATTTACGCGTTTGCCAGAAAGAATTCCATAAAGTACTGTACAACATTGAGTTAAATTCTTGCATCGATACAATCTACTGAGTTATTGCCAAACTTTATGCACTTAAATGCATACAAATGCTTTTAGAATAAATTGCCACATTTTCACGGGAAAACGGTTAAGATATCGATTCACAAAATACCTATAGGAAAGTATGGAGAGTTGGGAAAAGGATCCAATTTTTAAGACTGAATCAGAGAAGTTATTTTCTATCGCCCAATTTTTTTTCTAAGTTATTTAGCTGATATGAATCGATGACCTGACATCGAAAATGTAATAATTTTATTTGAGTTTATTGCATTTTAAATAATTCAGTTATCATATACGAGTACGTGATAGTGTAAAATGGTTATATTTGGTTCTGAAAAATTTAACGTAATTATAATATTTATTCCTTTGTTAGAGTTTTTTTGGATGCATTATTTGTATAAAAATGCCATTATTTTTTGTATACATATTTTTATTTATCACAAGTGTTACCCAAAATTGTATAACTCAAATTTCATAATACTTGCAATATAAATATAATTCAAGTTTTATACATATTAGTGGTTTTGTTGGAACTCCTGTTATGAAGAGTGAAATTTGTCTATTCTTTACCTGATTAATTAATTTAGCAGATTAAACATTTCAATAATGCTTCAATTTTTCTAATTTTTAAGAAATTAACTCATCCATCAATCAAACCAATTTTTACAAAAAATAATAATAGCCTTTCTCTAAAAAAGTGCTATAAATGTGCATTTTTGTAATTTGCTCTTTGCGTTTGTTTGAAATATAAAAACAGATATTCATGTTAATGATAATGTACTGATAGAAGGCAATGTAATAAAAAAAAATAAAAAATTGGATATTTATTTTCGACAATAATTTTTATTTTATTTCTCTGATACTTAGCAAAATAATATTTGTTTCAGGGAGGAAAAGTCTGTCCAACGATGTACAAAGACGTTCATTATAGAGGTAAATAATTTTTACCCAAATTTGATATATAATTATATATTACGATCACAAATAATTTTTTTAATATCTCTAACATGTTCTTTAAATTGATTTTTTTCATGCAGCAAATAGTTGGAAACAACATTGAGATGGTGTTTATTGTGAAAATGTTAAGTTATTGGTGACTAGATGTCTACAGAACATTAAATAATTATTTAAAATAAAAAATATGTAAAGTTTAGTTTAAGCAATGTGTATTGAATGCGTTTTAGTGAGCTCTTGATAGTTTCAGTGACATATGTGAATGTTCTAGTAAGAAAAATGCTATCGAATGCTGAAATATATGCGAAACTGTACAAAATGTGTTAGTGATACTATTGAAAATATATTTAATTATATATATATTTTAATGCAGAAACATAACGCTTATATGCTAAAAATATAAATAAATTTATTAAGGAATTAAAATATTTAATCCCGAAAATTGCTCCAAATTTTTTATTATGGATTAAAAATCATAGTTTTTTCTTAACGGTTGTCTAATCCTGTGTTTTAACATTAACGATGTCACTTAAGATTTTTTTTAAGTAATAACTGAAAACTTTAAAAAAATTATTCTAACTCTAATTAAATTAAATTTCCAAATATTCAATTTTATTTTACTTATTAAGGATGCATTCTAAATCTGACGAGCAATATAAATACTTTGATCACCACCAAGATTCTTTAACTTTTAAAAACAAATCAAACTAAATTATTTATAAATATTTTTTAGTTCACATTAAATCAGAATGTTTCAAAAATTTTCTTTACTAGCTTTAGTATAAAAGTATAATATAGTATCGCAATGTGTGTACCATGTTTGTTATGTGATATAACTATACATATATGTATATAAAAGTGTATATACATATACTTTCAATTTAGGGCAAAATATAAAACAGCTAAACATATCATGAATTCAAGAAAAAAATTGCTATTAAAAATCTTCTAGGCCAAATGACTTTTTACTATGGTAAACAGATGCTTTATAAGTAGATAAATCTTAGATAAAACTGTACATAAGACTATAAATATAGATTATGAGGAAACTATACTAAAACTTCTTATACTGACGATATTCTTGTTAATTTCGAGTTTTATAGATAATAATGGATACATACATTTTACTAATTTGACGAAAACTAAATGAGAAATTTTCTGGTGGAAAATTAAATCCTAAATTATAATTCATCATGTTAGCAAAACTCAGAAAGTTATTAAACAATAAAATAAAAAAATAAATAAAATTTATTTCAACAAAAACTTACTAATAAAAATAAATTTAATCAAAATTTAAAATATAGTTTTTGACGGCTATAATTCAGAATAAAAGAGAAAAAATAGAGAAAGTTTTTCCAAATTATACAAATGTTTTAGATATATGTTGTAACATAATTAATATTTTATTTACCCAATCAATAATAACTTATATTAACATGTTTTATTTTATCTCATTTTTAATCAATTATAATACTTCATGGCGTTCATTATTTAAATATTTAATTAAAAATATTTTTAAAAAACGTGAATCCTTGGGTGAACAAACAACTATATAAAATTAGGTTTTATACTGATACTTCCTATTGTTAATTGGAAAACAAATTTCGTATTTTTATAAATAATTATACAACATTAAATAAAATAACTATATTTCATGGATATCTGTATCTCTTATGAAAATTATCATAATTCAATTAAATTGATTTTTTTATTTTTCAAATTATTAAATGTATGTATTCTATATTAAAATAAACTCCTGCTAGTTTTGCTATCCTGACATATCGTGGTTTAACTAAATTAAAGCTATTAATGAAATTATAAAAAAAGTGTTACTTAAAAATGAATGCTATCCTTGAAGTGGCATTTCTCTGCAAAATTCTTAAGCTTTTAGATAAATCTTAGACTAGTGTATATATGTTTATATGAAACTTGGAATATATTATATGAAATAGAATAAAATGGTTATTAAAACCATTGTAAATTATTGATAAATGCGAGAAAATATTTTCAATCAACGGTTTTAATGAAATCTCAATATTGAGGAATTGAGAAAGAGTTGAAAAGATATTTTTCAGTTATTGTATAACTGATATAGTCTTGTTATTTCCAAAAATCATAATGCTTTCCTTCTAACCATATGAAAAATTATGTTTTAATTTTCTAAAAAATGCTATTAAATTATTTTGCAATGATTTGGATGTCAAACTGTAATGTAAATTGGTATTATAAATTGCATTATGTATTATATGACAATCCTCAAATTATAAAGAAGTTTTATTTATTTTTTTGTTTACTTATATTTCAGCTAGATATACCATAAAAATAAAAATTTCACAATTGTGCATTCTTCTGGATTCTTTAAGGTACGTGATATTCAACTAATTACTTTTCATAAATTTTAATATGAATTCAATTTTATCTTGAACGTTGTCAACAAATAGTCTGGAAAAATATCAAGTTGAGAGAAATAATTTAAATTAAAAAAAAATCAATTAAATGAATTTTAACAAAATTATCACTAATAAATGTAAATTGGAATTATAAATTGCATTATGTATTATATGACAATCCTCAAATTATAATAAAGTTTTATTTATTTTGTTTGTTTTTCTTATACTTCAGCTAGATATACCATATAAATTTCACATTTGTGCATTCTTCTGGATTCTTTAAGGTACGTGATATTCAACTAACTACTCTTTTTAACTTCATAGATTTTAATATAAATTCAATTTTATTTTGAACAACTTATCGACATATAGTTTGGAATAATATCAAATTGAGTGAAATAATCAAAATTAAATAAAAAACAATTAAATGAATTTTAACACAATCATCACTGATAAAAATGTATAAAAAACAAATGATTTATTTAATTTTAAAAATTTTATTTTAAACAAATCATTTTGCAATCGATGTATTGATTACTTAATACTTTTTATCTATTGATTCAAAAGAACCTACCTAACGTAATAAGAGTTAAGTTAAGTGGCTCATAAATATTCTTATGTGTCATAATATTTGAATTCGCGAATACTGTACAGATGTCGCAAAAATTTACTTATTGACGTATGTTAATAACAAATATAAGAAATTTTCAATTGGCGTGCACTCTATCTAAATGATTATATCAAGAGCTAATACTATTAGAGATTCATTTTTTATTCATTTGGAAGCATTGGCTCTCTTGGGTGCAAAGAAATTCGAAAAGGACCACCCTAATATATATATATATATATATATATATATAATATATACATATATAGTACATATTTAAATAGTAAATTTAGAAGCAAATCGCAATCGCACCAAGACTAAATTATTTCACCACTTCGCCAAGACTAAAAATTGATTAATCAAAAAGTTGCTCGTGTTGTATTTAATATGTATATGTATTCAGTTGCATAAATTTTCTACAAAACAAATATATGCAAGTTGGTTTCATTTGCTTTTATACAGAGAAAAAAAGAATAAAATCATCATGATTCTTGATGCGAAATTGCTTCGTATAATCAAATGCGGCCAGTGCGAAACTTCCCTTAATAGTACTTAGGTGACACTATATTCTCGTAAAACAAAATAGGATTCGGCGTGCCTGAAAACATCCTAAAAAAACGAAAAATAAAATAAATAAGCCGACACGACCGTTGTGGTCATTGTACTGGAAGCAGAGTAGATAACCAAAATTCATTTTTATAGTTATGGACAAGCAAAATAAAAAATTTTAAAAATAATTTTTCTAAAAATATATATTCGAATAGGTATTTCATATTCGTAATGAATAACTAGCAATTAATACTATTTCACATTAATTTGTAACCAAATAATCATATTTTTTACAAAGTTTTTGTCGTTTTATTCCTGTCAAATATTTAAAGATATCTATCAGATATCTAAATATTAAATTCATATATTTGCTAATTGTCTTAATCATTATTTTTGTTTGGTTCTAGGAATATTATGTAGGTTAATAACTACTAACTGCAATGACCAAAAAATGGTCACAGATTGATCATTGCTCGAGATTGTTTGAAAGCTTCTTAGAGAGCTTTTCCATAAATAATTGCTTTGTTCAGTTTGACGGTTGTGCTGCAACGCTTTTATTAATGTTTTGATATAATTAGGTTGGCGGATTTAATTAAATATCGATAATTTGCAATCCAATGATGATTTTATTAGACATCGATATTTTTGATACACTTTTTTGCTTATGTATAAAAAATCATGCCACACTTAAATTAAATTTGAGTTAATTTGCTCCACCTTGCGAACTACACGGATTACCTCAGCTGGATGGTGAATTCTGGAACGCCCTGTATATTATATATTTCAACTTGATTTTTATTCCTATTTTATTAATTTAATTTCTACGGTTTTAAATCAGTATAACTTTTAACCTTGTGCAAGAATTTTCAGCTTGTTTTTAGAAACAAAAATCGTGCAGCAACTATGAATATTATAAAATTACTTTCCTTTAAGTATTAATTATGAATAAGCTTGACAAGAGCTTGAAATAATATTTATTATTATTGATTACGGGTTGCTTATGAATACTTAAATAAATAAATAAATAGGTTTTAATTTTAATTTTACTGCCTACTAAACCAAGTCAGGTTTCTACATAACATTAATCAAACAAATAACTATCGTACTATGCTTATCAAAATTCGTAGTTAGTTCATAATTTTAGGGATGTGTTTTTTCCTATTTTTCTAAAATTTGTCAACAATTTACAATACTTAAATTTAGTAATATATAAATTTTGAATAAACAGATAAGAGAATGATTACCTTCAGTCCGATTTCAAAATTCTTTACTTTTAATATTTAAATCATGATCAAAGAAAAATCTCGAAAAAGATCACCTTTAGTCAGATTTCAGAATTCTTAACAAACAAATAAACATGAGAATGATTAATATAAGTCTATTTTTAACATTCTGTTCCTTTATATTTAAATTTCTAGAAACAAACACAAAAATGATTACCTTTAGCCCGATTTCAAAATTCTTTATCTTCTTTACGAATTTCGAACGCAAGAATGATTACCTTTAGTGCGTTTTCAAGATATATTTTATATTATAAAATGTATAGTATTTAAATAAATTCTCAATCTAAAATCTAAAATGCAACATGTTGTAATATAATTTACCAGACAACACACAACTATCTGCAAACAGACGTAGGCAGACTTAATTAACGCAAGATGAATTATCGTTGATAGGATGATCCAAATAATAAAGCCACTTTATATATATATATATATATATATATATATGTGTGTGTGTATATATCTGTGTGTGTATATCGAGGTTTCGTATAAACACTATGTTCACTAAATTTCTTGTAAGCTGTTATTATCCATTTGTTCAATGCCAACTGTCAGCTCTATTCAATGCGGTATGAAGCAATCAAGAACACATGGCAAAGTCAAATAATTTATGCAATAATATATAACCCACCCCTTTTCCACTGACAACGCCGTTCACGTAATAAATATACACGGGGATGCACACACAAACCTACACACACATCTATCTGAATACATATATGGATATATTATATACATACTAGCTATGCCCTATACGCGTTGCTGTGTTATATATATATAATTAAAAATCTTAACAAAAATGACGTTTTATTACATGTAGTTATCATGGTGCAAAAATATGAATCAATTTTCTGTAAAAAACCATCCCCTAAAAGACGATAATTGACCAGTTATCAAACAGGTTACGAATGATTAATGAAATTGGGAAAGGTGGTAGAAAGGTGAAAATTGAGGGCTGTGGACATGTGTTTCTCAAATTTGCATTTAAAAAAAATAAGAAAATTGTATGAATACAATAAAAGTTAAGTGTTAGAGTTTGTCAACTCTTAATGAAATTAGCTTCGTTGTGTACAATTAAGCTTTTTCATAGGATCAAAAAATATCAATCGAAATTGAGTCAAATTTGGGATGAAATATTATGTAATAACTTATAATAATTGCAAAATTGGAGTTTGTGGTAATACGGTGAAAATTTAAGTTTATGAGTGTATTTTTATATACACTGTAATAATGATTTAAAATATATAATTTATCCCAAAAAAAATTAAATAATCTTCGGAGCGACCAACCCCTCGTCACAATCAAAATATGCGAAAACCTGTCCAAATATGCAAAAGCTCTGATTTTCAATTTATGCTTAAGATTCACGACAATCAACTATTTATATTATTATTTCTGCAACAGTTTTTTTATGTCAAGAAATGTTATTAATTTTAAAATATTTTTAAATAACCAATCGCAATTAAACAGATTGCCTATCGATCTTTACTTTTTAAACGCTTCGGAGAAGCTTTGAAGCTTTTAGATCAAAATTCGAAGCATAATTGTTTTCTTATACTTTTTTTCAAATGTATTCATAAAAAAGAACATCCTAATTGATTAGGTTTTGATGATTTAATAATATTAATTTTTTGCAAAAGTTTAATTTAAATAATCTTCAAAATTCGAAGCATAATTGTTTTCTTATACTTTTTTTTAAATGTATTCATAAAAAAGAACATCCTAATTGATTAGGTTTTGATGATTTAATAATATTAATTTTTTGCAAAAGTTTGCATTTTTTACCCTAGATTTATTTTTTATTTTAGATTTTTTGCAATTGTCTCTGATCATAGCAATATTTTACCTCTAAATTTTATTTCACTATGCTTGAAAATATTGAAGAATTCAAATAGATAAAATAAATATGTAAAAATATATTTAAATCAGATCAAATATATGCTATGGTTAAAAAGAGTGGGCAAGGTTCAAACAAAAGGTTTATTGTTTTTTATTGTTAATGAATTGGATGGTAATATGTTCAGAAAAACGTGAATATAGAATGGATTTTCAATAACAAAAATAATGAGAATAACTTAACATTTAAATTTGAGTTTTTACGGAGCTTTTTATGTATTTTAGGTACAGTTTGCCGATCTTTTTCATCTGGAACAAGGATCCCTGAATGACAGAGCAGAAACGCATTAAGCTAACGTCCATATCCTTTGACGATCGTTTCGATATCATTGTGAATTCAGGGCGATATCTTGGACGGAATATGTTATATTGCTTTTATATTACCTCAGGTAGTGTACGCACATATAAAAGTACAATAGCCTGCACTAAACGCGATTTAGAGTAGGTTACAACATAAAGAATATTTTGATCGCATATTTTCCTTTTGTCAAAAGTAGATTGCGCACGTATAATACACTCCGCTGCTTTTAATACCGAATTGGTAAAAGAGCTGGTCCTGAAAAAATACACAAAATTTATCTTTATATTATTTATACAATGCTGCTGAAGTCTTCTAACGTACTCATCGTTAGAAGATAATAATATTCGTATGTGCACTTTTTTGTTTGGTAGACAAACGTTCTAAATTCAGGATCTCTATATCAATTGATTAGAATTTTTATATTAATATATATTGTATTATTAGTCTCACTCTCCTCGTACAAATTATATGCAACTTTCGTTGCTTTTACATTTTTTTGCACTGAGATCAATTAATAGAATTCCCCCAATCAATATTCTTCATGCACTACAATTTAAAACCCATTTTGGAAATACAAATTAAAAATTTGAACTTAGACCATGGTTGAAAATTGTCCAAGGACCATTGGACCATTTTATTTTTGGTATTAACTGTATATAAAACTCAATATTTGCTGTAGAAAATTTAATGTCTTATGTGTTAGGCTAGATTTACAATTTTGATATTAATTAGAGGTGTATAGCATCGTGACTTGAGGCAAATCGCTCAAACTTTCCGTACCATAATATAATATTAGAAGAATAAAATTTAGTTAATTTTTTTTTGAAATTAAAAAAAACATTAAAAAAATATTTTTCCAAAAGCAATTATTTCCTCAATACAAGCAAAATGATTTTGAATCATTCAAATTGTGGACGCTTCTCAAAAACTGCCATTTTTTGCACATTTTTTCCAAAACGGCTGGACCTGTCTTTGCCAAAAATAAATCATCACTTCTCCTCATTATTACAAATTAAATCTATTTTGGATCATGCAAATCGGAAGCTCCGTTCTCTCAGAACCTCTATTTCTATTCTGTACTCCGTACCTCCAAAATGGCTGGACCTGCCTTTGCCAAAAACTAATCACCACACATTCCTATCAATAGGATTTCCATTCAAATCGGTTGATCCGTGCGCCCGAAAACGTGGACGAAAAGTTGTATCCATACATACATCACACATACACAAGATTCCACGATATATTATATAAAAATTGTAAATTCAAAGGATAAAGTATGCATCCTCCTATGGAGCTTATTATAAAGCATTACACTCTATATTCTTTTACTTTGCAAAATTTAACACAAAATTTCAATTCCTGTCTATCCATTCTTCAAATTTAAGTATTAATCAACCCTTTAATTTGTTATTATTATTTGTTATAATATCTATTATTATTGATTACGGCTTGCTTATGAATAAATAGATAAATAAATAAATTAAATGAATATTGATATAAAATTTTATTAAATTTAATGTGTTAATCATTGGCTTGCAATAAATATGAAAAATATATTATGGAAAACAAATCAAGGGTTGGTATAGTATTCCTATATTCTCTATAAATATCGGTCAAAAGTGAAATATGAAGTAAAAATTCTGGATTAATATATATTGAAATTTGCTTTTTTTAATACTGATAAATTATTTATTCTCTTAAAAAGGCTAATAAAATTAACTATGTGTAAAATTATTAGGATTATCCTATTGCAACTGTTTATGCATAATTATATTCTGAAAACATTATCTGCATGGGGACATAATTTGAAGATCGGCTTAAAAAATAAAAATTTCAGGAGTAACTAGCTAGATTCCAATAAAACAAATATTTAATATTTACATTAATTTAAAATGAATATGTTAAGATCTAATAATCACACATAATTGACAGCAATAATAATGGCCATCTAATAAATGGTCATCGCGCTAGTAACAGATTATATAAATATTTGAGGACAAAGAAAATCTAATATGTTATGTTTCTACTATTAATTTTACTGATTTTCCACAAGATCTCTGATTATATTTCGTAGGTGTCCATTTTATTAACGCTTTCGCAATACGCGTTCGGCATGCGATGACTCTAATAAAAACTTATTGATAATTCGATGATGGAGCAAAATTTCGAACGTAAAAGTTTATAGTTGGTATTATATTTTAATATTTCGAATATGTTTGCCTTTTATATTTTGGCACTTTTGAAAATAATACATTCTGATGAAGGAATCTCTGGAAAATTGTATTGGAAATCTATAAAAAATATATAGATAATAAATTTTATGATGGTGATATTGTTGGTAATAGAATTTTGCTATGTGTTGATCAACATGATTCATTGTAATTATCACACTCGATTGTATTTTAAACTATGAAGTTTTAAAGCATATTTTAAATTAAATAACAAAATAAATAAACCTCTTCGGCAAGGGTGAAAAACTATATCCGAATAGATCCGAGTAGAAGTTTTGGATTTTATTTTGCATAATCATAGCGCTTGGTTAAGTCTGGGCAACGTGCCGACAGGATCGTTCAGTATTATTAGAAAATCTCTTATCCGAATGACGAAGCCATATAAACTTTTATGAAAATAACAAAGCTATCGAATCGTGGAAAGTTCTTCTCTATGGAAAGAAAATCATGGCCGGAAAAGTGTCAAAAATTGAAGAGGGTAATCACACATGCATCGGGAATATTGAGTAGATGTGAGTCACTCAAGAATTCAAAATAGAGTTATAACAGTAAACGAGAAATAAGAAAAATTTATTATTAAGTTTATTAATTTTAGAATATAAAGCTTTAATATATTTTTAATTTTATATTTTTGTTTCAATTATATAATATTTGAAAATTATTTTTGTATTTTTATATCGTATTTACAGTATGCGAAGGAGTTTCAGGTCTTTCTATTTTAGTTGCTATAATTCGTACTCATGGTAATGATTATTTTAAAAGATTAATATAATACATGTTTAAAATTTTCAATAATAATATTTTTTATAATCCATATTATTTTATTAAAAAATTGTTATTGATTGGTTCAAACAATATTATTTATAATATTATTTATTTATATAATTTAGGAATAAAAAGAATAATAATTATCAATATGAGATCAAATTTTGGTTATGATATTATATCTTATAGATTAAATTTATTAAGAATTTGAATATTATTTTAGTATTATTAGCTTCAATTTTAATTTATAAAAATAATTATAATTTAAAGTTATTTTATTATCATTAGTTTTTTTATTATTATATTATTTTTAACTTTTAGTTAATTAAATTATTTTTGATTTTTTTTTTTTTGAAAGAAGGTTAATTACAACATTATTATTAATTTTAGGTTGAGGATATCAACCAGAACGTTACAAGCTGGTATATACTTAATATTTTTATCTTTATTTGCTTCATTACATTTATTAATTATATTTATATGATTATATAAATATAATAATACTTTATTTTATATATTTAATAAGTGCATTAGATTATAACTATATATTTATATATTTTTTTTTTATAAAATCTTATATTTTTTTGTGAAATCTTATTAATATATCTGTGAATTAGTAGAGTGCATCTACTTTCATTATCTCGTATATGAAATATGGTGAAACAAATTTTAAGATATGAGAATATAAAAATATAGACCATTTTGTGGATATTGTAATTATTGCATTAATGTTTATAACTAAGTTTTTTTTTAAATAATAAAATCTATGTTTTAAAATTTTTTTAATAATTTTTCTGCATTAATGCTACCATTTATTTTTGTTGTATTTTAAAGATAAATAGCACTTTAATTTAATTAAACATTTTAAAACAAAATTGTCATTTTTTAATCTTATACAATAACGTTTAACAATGATCAAATTGGTCTATATTATTATAGCATATTTAAAAACTATTAAGAATATATTATATAGCAGGAGTTTTTGAATTGTAAACGTGTGGCAGGACAACGTGTGTCGGGTCAGCTAGTATATATATACATATATATATATATATATATATATATATATATATAATAGGAAAATACGATATACAACTCATCACCATCTATTACAAAACCAATATATTCGAAATATCGGAATTGCTTTTTAAAAAAGGGAATCACAAGCGCTTGATATTTTCCATTTAGTTTTTTGTAATAATTATTTTGTTATCTACTCGACTGTTACTATTGACAATTTTAGATAGCGGATATTGTTTCAGACATTTTGACATATTGGATTACATGGAGAATGAAGCACAAAACATTTTGAAATGGCATTTGTAGTAGATATAAAAATATATAAATAGTGCAGCGAGTCAATATAATGGGATCTGTACTCTTAATATTTATTTTATAGAGTACCTGGATGTTAAAGATCATAGTCAGGGGGGTTTGGCCTCTCACCAGTTTATGAGAAAATTGAGAGGTTTGATTCTACCATATGTTATATATAAAGGTATCATTATTAAAACATGTCATATCAGGTTATATATTGCCTTTGCAATTTTTGATTTATTTAAAATCTTTTTCTAAAAACTTTTAAAATATTTTTTCCATAGTATATAACATTGAATCTTGTTTAAAGATCATCTTTACACTTTGCTCAATGTGATAAAAATATCAAGTAAAAATCTTGGACTACATTCACGGTTTCTTCAAATACATTCTACTCAATTTGAAAATAATATCAAGTTGAAACCATGGACTACAATTCTTTACTCTTTTTACTCAATTTAAAAATGTCAAGTTAAAACTATGGATTTTTATTCGCGTTTTTTTTAAACACATTTTACCCAATTTGAAAATGATATCAAGTTAAAAGCATGACTATTATTGACTAATTTTTTTACTCTATTGAAAAATATCAAGTTAAAACCATGGACGTCTATTTACATTTTTAACACATTGGTGAAAATAATATCAAGTTGAAACGAAACATTCACGGTTTATTTAAACACATTTTACTCATTTTGAATACAAACATGGACTACCATTCACTATTTTTTTACTCTTTGAAAAATATCAAGTTAAAACCATGGACTAAGTTACTTCACGTTATTTTTAAATTCATTTCACTTAATTTGTAAAAAACATCAAGTTGAAACCATGGACTACTTAACGGTTTTTTCCAAT